TATATATATATATATATATATATATATATATATATATATATATATATATATATATATATATATATATATATATAGTTTCCTCAGAGCTCACGCAATTGTTATCGCAACGACGATAATAACTGAACAAAGACGAAGAAATTGTGAAGAAATCATCGTAACGGCACGCTCGAGTTGCTTTCCTACGTGTAATAGCAATAATTAAATAATAACCGAATAAATTAAATAATAATCGAATAAAGAAGTAATAATACTGGAATATTAAATGGTAATGAATAATATCTACTCGATAATCGTGTGATAATATCCGCGAGTGGATAATAACGAAATAATTATGATCGAATAATCGGTAATAACAATACCTGGGCAACGGCTCTAACAAAAACTCTAGGCTCAACAAAGGCTAGGTAAACCGACTGTCGTAACGTCCCACTCGAGCCGTTGACTGAGCGGCGCTGGAGGGGGGCGCACGGCCAGTTCATGTAAACACACGTGCGCAAGCACGTGCTGGAGCGTCATGCCACAACACTCTGAACCGTCAAGACGAGCACATCGGGAGTTGTCGCGTTATTTTTTAGATTATTCTATATCTATTATTCTATATATTTATCGTGTTGATTTTTAATACCGCGTTTCTACTTCGCAACAATTGAAGCGATAATTAAGAGAAATTAAGACACGTACTCCTCACGCGAGCAGGTGTTGCGGGCTTTACCGCGACAGGTAATAACGACATTTCATTTACTTTTTTAGATAGAGAAACATCGCGATCGAGTTTCTCAATGCTGAGCAAATATTATCATCATCCATTTATTATTCACGTATTATTACTTCTTTATTCAGTTATTATTTAATTATTTTTATTGCGTATTGGGAAGCAATTCGAGCGTGCCGCTACTACGACGTCCTTACCTCATCTTGTTGTCGTGTGTAATTAATTGATACAACCGGATATTATTATATGGTTCGATCAGATATTATTATCATCATCCATTAATTAATTAGATATTATTACTTCTTTATTCAGCTATGATTTAATTATTTCTTATTGCGCATTAGAAAGGAACTCGAGTGTTACGATACTATTTTTTCCCGTTTTAATGTCGTGTGTAACTAATTGATACTAAATTATTAAATTACTAATTTAAATTAAATTTCTGTCACAGAGATCCAATAGAGCAGACGCCAGTCACGCGGCTCTAGGAGTTGCAATGATTGGGAGATGTTGCGCCGGGTGTTTCGGCTCGGGCCTGATTTTGTCGATAAAAGTGAAGGTGAGCTTCACTAATTTGTATTTATAATTAGAAGTCCGACGAAACTGAAAATTTTCTTATTTGGAATCGAGTTTCTTAAGGCCTCTATCGTCGTATAACTAAATAATACTCAATTAAATGTGTTTTTTGTTGCAGAGACGAAAACTCGACTCTAAGCGGATGCTGCGCCGGAGGATCTGGCTCGGGCCGAGCGGGATTAGCTCGAAGGTGAGTTTCATTAATGGATATTTGTAATTAGAAATCCAACAAGATTGATAATTCTCTTGCTCAAAATTGAGATAATTTTAATCGAATCAAAGATCGCGTTAAATCGTAATTACACGCGGGGAGAATTTTTTCTGAGTAACATCACCACTTGAAAAATTTTGATTTGTTCTGATTAAGAGATTTATTTGCAACATCGAGAAAAAGGAAAGTGGAATATTCCAAGTGTGAATGTATTCCGAAAAATTCTTCTAGAGTGAAAAATATCACGTTTATTTTTTTATAATCCTTCAAACTTCTTTACTCAAATCGTCATCAATGCACGAATCTAATCAGCGAAATGATATTTTTCTGTTCCAGAAACGAAAGCAGAATGTGGCTATCCTGATCGGCGGTTTGGTGAGTCAAAATAAAAAACATTTTGAAAATAGAAAGACAAAAAGTCTTTCAATATAGTGCATTCTTATCGAATCAATGCGATTTACTTTGCTGTAGTTGTAGTATGTGTACGTGTCGTCCAATAAAAATCTCACTGTTCGAAACATCTGCTCGAAATCAATTGCTCGAAATTGAAAGATCGCTTTTTCAAATAATAATATTAGTGATAATGTATATTTTACATAATGTGTATTTTACATAAATTTGGCAAATACATTTTCAAGTATTTTTCTCCCAATGTATATATGTTTAGAAATTGATTAACTTAGATTATTGATTGATCAACGATTTTTGTCGGACGAAATTTTGATTAATCAATTCCCAACACTATCTGGTAGATGCTTAAAGTATTGAGCTCTGAACATTCAAAATTTTGTAAAATTATTCAGTTTTATTGAAGGCGATCTTCCAGGTGTCTCGAACAGTGCGCTGACGCGCAAAGAGATTGCGCCAACGCGCAAAGGGATTATGCCACAGAGATTGCGTCACAGAAAATGCGCAATCACATCACCTGCGTCATAGATCTTTCGCTAGTTGTTAATTTTTTCAATTTTATCTCTCGCATGAGCTTGAATCTCGATTGCATTTCATAAAGTAGAATTCGTGCTTTGTTATTAAGTAAAATTCAATATCGTTCAGCATTTGCGCAAAGCGATTTAACGTGATTATATAAACTGCTCGCAAAATTAATTCACGATCGTCGGAAAAATTTCAGGTTTTAATTTTTCACTTAAAGTTAGAGTTTCCTTACGCAGGACACAATAGAGACAATGCTAGCGAGCGTTGATCTCTCGCGAAAAACGCGATGTACATAAATCAGACATGCAAGCAGTTGTTTGTTAGGCAGCGCGCGACAAGTTCCATCGAACGAAGACAGACGTCTCACGCGATAACATTTTTTTACATGAATTTTGAACAGAATCTTTATCTTTATCGTCACAATTTTCATAGTTTTTAATTTTTTATTCACGCTCGCGTTCGCGATATTAATTTGATAGGTTTGTGAATTTCACCGGATCATATTTGCGGAAGAGTCGCGAGCGAACTTCGTAGAAATATTGCGGAGTTGTTATCCGCAAAAGCATTACGGAATTGTCTTCGCAAAAGTATTGCGGATCTGTTATCCGCAAAAATATTGCGAAATTATCTTCGCAAAAGTATTGCGGAGATGTTATATGCAAAAGCATTGCGGAATTGTTTTCGCAAAAGTATTGCGGAGCTGCTATCCGCAAAAATATTATGGAGCTATATTGCAACCCACTACGCTGCTTCATCGAAACGTTACATTAGGGATATTCCGTGTCGTACGTGAAAATTTCGCACAGATTACTTCGCCCACGCGTCGAAATATTTCGCGAGATCGGCCTTCGCGTCGCGTGTTCCCTTCGCTCGCGGATTCCGTTTTCTTTGTAAACGATTCGCGTTCTCGCTTGTATCAAAGCGAAATACTACAATTCGATCGGACCGTTGCTGAATTTGTCGCACATACTCGTTATTTATCCGAAAGGCCGACATTTTCTTAAAGACGTAGTTCGCGACATTTCATACGCAATTCGCAACTCGGAGTGTATCCCCCAAGAGAGACGGGATTTTTCGTGAAAAATTTTAGCCATTAGATTACCGCGGTCGGGAGTGAATTACAGGCGACGTGGGTCTCGAGGATCATTGCAGTGTCAAATGCAGGATGGCTGGTGGACCCTGGACACCGTGGGACGACGCGCAATGGTGAGCGCTCAATTTAGACGCTCATATAGTAGACACAAAGCGTCACTTTACGTAGATTGCATGCACGTAGACGTAAATCGCATTGAGTCCGACGAGAAGTAAAGTAAAAATTGGAATTTGCAATTCGCCGGAGTTACGTAAGAATGATCCAACCAAAGAATTTAGCTCTGAGATTTTCGCAATAGTTCAACAAGTCAAGCATTTCCATTTCTTTAAGAGTATTGACTAGTTCATCCTTAGAAAAATGTGTAAAAAGACACGACTGGTAAACAATAAAAAAAACTGTTTATTAATTCATTTCAAGGCATCTATAAGGCTTGAATTTTTTGTTTGGAATAAAAAGATGTGAATGAAGTATCCATTGATAAAAGTTTATAATTTTTTTAATTGGATCATTCTTGCATAATAATAGCCAATTGAAATTTTGACTCGGCAGGCTTCCTTCTTGTCGGATTATTTCTTAATAATACAGTAAACTGATATATTTCAATATGTCATATTTATATGCTCTATATATGTTATATATGCTTTTTTTATGCTCTATATATGTTTTATATATACCGAATATATGCTTTATATATACTATTTAATTAATATATTTTATAACTTGTTATGTCGTATTATATATGACATATAATCTCAAAATATCTCTTCGGAGATATTTTCTTATGCATACGCGTTTGTTGTTGACAAGATGACAAATTAAATTTCGATAAATTGAAGGCAATAAATTAAATTATTATTCAAACCGAAATGTTTCGACTTCCCGCTAAATTATTTAGCTGAGATTCGGACCCGAATATTTTGAGATTTTGCTAAATCATTAAGCCGAGATTCGAACCGATGTATGTTTGAGGATCCGCTAAATTATTAAGCCGAGTTTCATCCAAAATGTTTTGTATTTTCGCTAAAATATTAAGCCGAGGTTCGAACCGATGAGTTTTGTGCTTCCGCAAAATTAAGCTGAGATAGTTAAGGCTGGGATAATTTTTTAAAGTTTTTTAAAGAAATTTTCGCATTTGCAAAAATGTATTTTTGAAAATGACGTGAAGTGTGTGTATTTCGCTCTGCATCGACTCTTGGATGATAATGCGCCTTAATGTCACTCTATTCCTTCAGTAACACGCCGAGAATCTTGAAAATAATTTCCCAATATCCCAAAATCGCGTTCATAACGTTGGATCCAAGTTAGTGTCATAGAAATGTCGGATTCTCGCGCATTGGCCGAAAGTCGGTCATGTTACTACTATGTAGGTTACTTGGGTCATATAGCGTTAGCATTTAGAGCACATTCTAGGATAATATCTTACAGTTTTTTTAAGTAATTTTCGCGTTTGCAAAGATGTATTTTCGAAAATTGACGTGAAGTTTGACTATTTCACTCTGCATCGTCTTCCGGATCATGTGGAAGTATTTCTCTGCAGTAAGATTCGATGTCGTGATAGTAACTGTTGCTTATCGTTTTCGTCTCATATTGATGAATGCTCCGCTTTATTTTCGCACGTACTTTTACCATGCAAAAAGGTTTTTAATTTTGTCAAATCAGCACGAGATAATAGTTTTACAAAAGTATTCGGTATCAATGACATTTCCCAACAAATTATACTTTGTGTGGACTTGACCAAATTAAAAATGCTTTTGTAAAAGTACATGCATAAATGAAATTTGGGTATTCCTATCTCAAGGATGAAAACGATGTGCATATTGCTATTACTATCGTGACACTGATTTCATTTTTCAAAAATTACAACGTACTGACTGCTCCAATTTATATGATAAAATTACGTGCGAAAATAAAGTATAACATTGGTCAGTGCGAAATGAAAATGATATCTCAAATTACCGTTGCTAATTATATTGAAAACTCAAATAATAGGTAATATATTTTTTAAAATATATAAAATATTTGCAAATTACCTTTGTGCGTACAACACTCTTCTCTAAAAACTCTTTCTTTGATGCACTCAGTACACAAGCGGTTTGAAGAATTTATCAGAAAAGTAGCAAGAGCGTATTTTGAGAGAGAATGCGAATATCGGCAATGTGACATTCACATTCATATTTACGTAACGTCTATGTGTAAGAAAATTGAAATGACAACGTAGTACACACACTTGCATAACATCTATGAAAAGATAAAAGCGGTATTATGTTAGCGCCTATTTGATGATCGTCTTTATTCCATAAATATCTATGTGTACATAAATTCGATATGGTCGATAAATGATGATAAGTTTTCTACTTTTTGATGATCGCTCTACGTTATCGACGCTTATCAAGTTCATCGCTTGCTCCGGCATCCTTTTAAGAACGGCATCCCTTTAACGTAATCTTTCTCTCTCTCTCTCCCTCTCTCTCTCTCCTTCTCTCTCTCTCTCTCTATCTATCTCTATTTCACAATACGTTCGTTCACGTCATCAGTTTCTGGGCGGGTCTAGTGTTTGTAAACATATTCTTCTCACCGGATAAGCTTTATCACTTTCCCCAACACACAGCCGAATCCGTTGACTGTAGTTCCTGCTTCCTTATGTAAGCCTTATATAATCATCGACCGCCAACAAAAAATCCTCTACTTTTTTCCTTTGTAGATATACAAAAATATACAAATAAATCTGTAGATCTACTTTGCAGATTCTTAATTAAATAACATATTATTGTATTCGTAAATATTGTTTAATTAATAATTAAAAATCTGCTAAATTATTAGGAAAATAGTAGAGGGCTTTTTTATTCAGTTTAACCTAATATACAAGCACACAATGGCAGACGTCGCCACTACAGTTGATCTATCACATCTCGTGTGATTACTCACAAATATTCTTTAAT